AAACAGCAAATAAAAACCAAAGAGGAGTTTTGACTGCCCCAAATGTGAACACGAAGTCCAGTTTGACACCAAACTCCTCCCATTCAAGGAAGCCTGAGCTTCTAACTTAGGACAGAGAATTTTACAAGGTAATAGGGTACCTGAAGGTTAATTTTTCAAGCCCCTGAGTTTCTTTGTAAATCGAGCATTTAGGTCTGTGCTTCCCTCCATGGAAGCAAATCAGCAGACACATACACATACAGGGTGAATTCACCCTCAGGAGAGACACAGCCTCTCCAAAGCACCTCACTAGGTATTAGGAAGGGATACTTCTTCTTGCTGACACCTGCAGTAGATGTTTATAACTTGCGACTTTATAAAATGAACCCTGAATTTGCTGAAAACCAGAATAGGGAGAGAAGACTTGTTATGAAGAGGGGGGGGGCGAGTTACTTCGAAGTGAAGCAACAGGTACAAGCAGCAGAAAGAAAATCACAGCTCCAGCACTGGAGTACTGATTATTTTTCCTTGCTAGCAACAAACTCTTGATGACTTTAACAAAACACAATGAAAATGTTGAGACTGACTCATTTCTAACTTGGGAAGAACCTAAACTCCCTCTCCCGCCGGCGTGAGGGCGGATGAAGACGGGTACGATGCCGCGACCGCTCGTACCGCGGGCCGGGGCAAGGGGCCGGGGCAAGGGGCCGGGGCCAGGGCCGGAGCATCCCTCGGGCACGGCTGGCTCTGGCTCAAATGATTCAGAACAGTGCCATCTGCCGGGGCCAGGGGTGGGAGGGAGCCTCCCCCAGAGGTCTGCTGCCTAGTTTTCGGCCCCTGTTCGTAATTTAACGTCGGTGTTTTGACAGACGAGGCAACCGCTGATGAACGCTAAAGAATTTAGAAGTACCTTTTGCATTTCATTAAAATACCTGAGAAAATGTTTTCTAAAGGTCAAACTGCTCCCTATGCTCCTCACTTTATTTTTCTTTTTAATCATGAGGGAGACAAAGGGATTTTTTTGGTTGTTTTAATTGATACTCTCCAGTGCCATAAAAGCTCAATCAGTAAAGCACTTAAGCAAATGCTCACCTTTGAGTATATAAGTGGCTTCTCAGATGATGGTGGAAATAATTGCATTTCCTCAAAGTCCTGTAGAGTGAGATGTGAAATCAGGGTAAAAAGGAAAAATATCCTGTTTATAAAAGTAACTGTCCCTTATCCACCAAGGTATCTTGCAGACATATTCTAAATCCAGAATCATGCATAAAAAATAAAGCAATGAGAATATGTGAAGCAAAAATTCAGTTTTAATGTGAAGAAAATATATATTGTAAAATCGCTGCTTGAATTTGAACTAACAGAAAATGGACCACTTAAAGTCATTAGCAAGTTAATATTCAGCAGCTCAAAAATTCTTACATTATCTTTTTCAATCATTTATAGACTTTGCAGAAATGATGCTTATAACCTCAAACACTTCCTATACTTTTTAATATACTAAAAATCTCTCTGCTTGTGTGTCTAAGAGCATCAAGAGCAATATATAATAATGCTAATTTTACAACCACTATACCAGTTCTAGTTTTACAGTTGAGAAACTTGGACACAGAGAGAGTCAAAAGCTAGAATTTAAGCTGTGCTTATTGATTTTGGGTGACCAACCTGAGTTACCTCTGGAGTCTGTCTCAGATATAAAAGCTGTTTGCCTTATCACTTCGTGGACTGTACAAAGAAGCTGAAAAGGCAATACATTTCATAAGAAAAATAAAGGACTTTCATGAAATTATCTTGCTGAGGGGTTTTTGTTTTATTTTGTTTGAAGAAATGTATTTTTAGAACAACCTGCAATTAAATTGTGGACTTCAGTGCTATATTTTATTAGGAATATCAAAAGTATAAAAATATGTTCCAAAAGGATTATCTAAATTCATAAATACTCTATCAAAGAGGTACACTTCTATATCCTTGTTTTTCAGAACTGCCTTTTATAGTTTTATGTATGTCCAAAGTACATTTTCAGTCAGCTCCTGCTTCAGTAGTGTGTGCTCAGCATCCCTATGTCTTCCATCCTGTTCTCCAGGCAATGTGACACACATCATTAGTGGCCAACTGTGATCATTTTGTCTCAGCGTTCAGTGCCACATCTACAGAAAGGTTTTGGGCACCCATGTGCAGTATGATTGCCTCTGTAGATAGCTGGGGAGTCTCAAAAGACCAAGTCAGCTCCTTCAGAGCAATAGAAGTTGCTTAAATCTCTAGTATCCAATTTTTGCCAGCACATTTGACTAAACCCCAATAGGACAGGATTTCCTTAAATGCTCATGATCCCTCAAACACCTAGTCCAGAGGAGAGCATCAGAGCATGCTCCCAGGAGAAGCTTCTTGCTTCAAAAGGAACCTATTGCTTTGGAATGAAAAAGACTTTCTAAAACTAGGTTGTTTGAGTTAGGATGTGATGAGTGGCTAGAGCTGTTATGGGAAGCTGTATAAAATGAGAAAGATAGGAGACTTTAATAACTGCCTTGGCTGCAAGCAGGCCCACAAACACCTTTTCCAACCCCATAGCAAGAGTCACCCAACAGCACTTGCCATCTGTACCAGATCCAGCAGGTTCCTACACCAGTTTTTTCAGCATACTGTGTCAGTGGTTTAAGATCTTGCTAAGGAGGAAAGCAGTGAGGGTGTAAACACAAAAGGCTAAGTTTAATAAAGAAATAATACATCATGAAAAGCAATTGCATGGTTATGAAGGTATCTGTACTGATCTAAGAGCAGAGCAGGAGTGCAAGCATAAGCAAACTGTCAGGAATGCAGATAGAGACAGAGAAGCTTTGGAGACCAGCCAGTCTTTCTTATTGGGAAAAAAAAAAACCAAAACAACCTCATTTTACCCTTGGAAGGTTCGAATCATTTAGTTGCTGAAGCACAGTGTGTTTTTTCCTCAGGAAGGGAAAACTGAGTCCATCTGGGAAAATAGCAAGAAATTAGTTGAATTTAGAGGAAAAAGGGGGATTATGATTAATATTATTTTATTTTGTATTTTACAGGTAAAGTACATTATATTACTCTTTATCTCATTCTGAATTATATCACAGAACTGATAGGAACACCTTTTTCTGGGAAGTAAGCATGATGAAGAGTCCTGAGGCATGCGTCAGTCTTATACAACATACACATACACATGTACATAGTCATGTATATGCCTATACACATGCATATATATGCCTATATTTTGAGCCCAATAAGTACATCTGACAGTACCTCTTAGCACCAATGGATGCATCAAGGGACAAGATTTTAATTTGTTTGTGGGATTACTTCTTGCAATGTGCAACACAGCTGCAACTGACCTTTTAACATGAGGAAAATCACACTACTGTACAGTTACACTCACCCTGCTAAATTTAATCCCATGTATTTTTATGCCTGTCACAAACAGATAGGATTATTACTGGGAGTCTCCCACACGTGGGAATCAAATGTATTATCATGTCTTTAAAGATGAGTGGATCTGTCACTGATGTCCTAAAGCTTTTTACAGAATGCAGTGCCTGGTTATCTCCCTACTAGCTCTCAGCTGCTCCACTCCCAAGGCAGAGGACTGTGTTGCTAAGCATTTTCAGATTGCTGACTATGCCCCCAGCCGATGTTACAGGATAGTCAGGCTGAACAAATCTTAGGGAGCCCAGCCAAGGAGCAAGCATAAGCCTGATGTACTCCCTAACTCAGCTTTGCTTTTCCACCTCTGGAATGGAGGCAGTATGCATGATGGCAGCAAGGGCATAGGGAGGTTCCCAGGATACTGCTGACCCGGCTTTCCCCATGAGTGTAACCCATGCCCTGAATGCAGGCTTGTATTTGCAGAGCCAGGAATCGCTCTCTGGTTCTCTTTTACTTACAAATATATCACTCCTATACACCCTCTGCCTACAATCAAAATACAACATAAACATAGCAACAAAATCTGCTTACACATTTAGCATCACATATCCACTGTGATATATTACACAGTCCTGGGCCTTTCAGTAGCCTACAGCTGAGTTTACTTCTTGCAGACACCAGGGTCAGGAGAAGGCAGCTGATGGGTGCCCAGGCCACTGAGATGGGATCAGGTAAATCCTGAAGCCCTTCAGTTTGATGTAGCCAGAATGCTTCCTCCTAGAACAACCCTCCTGATAGTGCCCCAACCCACTGCTACTTGTTTACTGATGTGTGGTAGACACACACTGGCAATCTTCATAAGGCAGTGCCAGATGCTTTTACTTGCTGGAGAAGGAAACAAGTAGTATACAGTACACAACCCTGCTGTACAGCAACTGTCCTGGGTTTAGCAGTGGCAGTCATTTTTCTCCTTCTTGGTAGCTGGTGCAGTGCTGTGTTTTGACATTCAGCTGGGAACAGAGCTGAAAAACAATGATGTTTTGGTTTGGCCAAGGACTTTGTGGGCCTCATGCTCTGCCAGGGAGGAGGGGAGCCGGGAGGAAGCAGAGACAGGACACCTGACCCAAACTGACCAAAGAGGTATTCCATACCACAGCACGTCATGCCCAGGAGGTAACTGGGAGTTAGCCGGAAGGACTGGGTGGACTGCAGGGTTGGAGGAGGTATGGGTTGGTGCTTGATCGGGCTGGGGGGGGCAAGTTATTGGTCACCTGGTGATGAGGTGTTGTATTCTCTTCCCTTGTTATTTCCTTTATCATTTCTATTATTGGTGGTAGTAGTAGTGATTTGTGTTATACCTTAGTTACTAAACTGTTCTTACCTCAACCCGTGGGAGTTGCATTTCTTTTTGATTCTCCTCTCCGTTCCCCCAGGAGTAGGGGGAGGGCAAGAAGGGGGGGAGTGGGTATCAAGCTGTCTGGCTGTGGGTTAAACCACGACAGCAACTAATTCCAAGTATTTGTCCCTGTAAAAAAGCTGGTGGAAGCCCTGCCAGCACCAGTCACTTAAATACAGAAGATCATTTGCTTTGAATTTTGAGGGAGCTTTAACACAGAAAAAAAAAAAAATAATCTTCATTTCTGACCCACTTCTGCACTCACATTACAAAGTGCTCACATTTCTGACAAGTGTGAGAAGGCTCCTTATATGAGTGTTCTTACCTTACTTTTTGAATTAGATTTGCTAAGTGTTGGTTGCCAGCTGGTGAATGTGAAGTGAAATCAGCCATCAGTTCCTGCATACCCTGTTCTGGTACAGCAGCTTTGGGTGCTAAGTTTTGAGATCAGTTCCCTGTAGTTCTGGAAGATGACGGAGGGATTTTAATATATATTTATACCTATAACTGTCATATATAATTGCATTAAGATGTCAGAGATATTTCCTGCATGCATTGGGGTGTATCCAGTGTTTTTGCCCACTAAAGAGATGTCTGAGTTACACACATAGGATCCTTCAAGTAAGTCACGCTAATTTAGCATATTTCCAAGATGTTTGCCCATGGCTGACAAATATGACCCACCAGGACATTTTTTGCCCATCTGGAGGGAAGCCAGATTGGGGTGTCCAAGGTAATTAGACTCCTATGCTCAGGCAACTAAATTCACATAACCCTTATGCTGTGCTGGCCCCGGATTAGCCCATCCCTACACCCCAGGAATAGCTGGGTGTTGTACAGCCCCTCCACAGCTTCACCATCAACCACAAACTCCGTGGAGCCAGCAGAATCTGTTGCCTTCAAACAGCCATGCCACCCCTAGTGAGTCACTGGAAATCTGTGTAAATTAGTCCCAGGATTTTTCAGTTTGTTATGAGGTTTACAGCAGAGTCAAGTCTAGCAGAGCGCAATAAGTATGGCAAAAAATCATTCACGTGATAACAAAGAAGTGAAAGGAGTACCTTGAAGTTATGTAGAGATATGTCTTTGTGGTTTAAAAATATGAATACTTTTTAATAGAAAGCTGTGCTTATTGGTCATGTTCATGGGCTAGTGACTATGAAAGCACAATTAAAATTCACAGGCTATGCAAGAAAGGGAAAAAATTATAGCTTATTTTGAGAAAAAAAAAAAATAAAGATGAGTTTTATCCTCCAGCTTTTGGCCCCCCAACAAAACACTACACAAATGCATGACTTCAGTCATACACCAAAGTTTTAAAAATCAGGTAAATAAAATCACTAAATTGAATTCCATGTATTTTTATGCCTATCACAAATAGATAGGCTTATTACTGTGAATCTCCCACCAGTGGGAATCGAACATACAATTTTCCTTCAATTAACTTAGAAAATCTATGCAGTTAACTGTATAGAAATGATCATAGATACATATAAATACCAAGCAGATTGTATCACTATTTTAATTTGCCAAATTTGAAAGGTGGCACATACACCAGTACTCACCTTGTAAGTACTAGCTGGTATTACAGCAGAAAGAATAAAATTAATGTCGAGCCTGAAGAAAATCACATCCAGATTGTGGCCATTTAGCCATTAAAACCTGAGAATGATCATGGCTCATTGTTTGAATGGCATGTCATTGAAGTACAACTCAAAAATGTCTAGAGGCATTCTTACATGTGAAAACACCAGGCCTGAAGAAACAGTACTGTCAGGTAGGTCACCCAGCAGTTAAATGCTCAGAACCTGGAGATGTGGGCAAGAACTCTTTTATCTCAGAGCTCCACTATCACATTATAAAAATGACTGATATTCCACAGGTTGCACTCTGAACATCATGCGCAAGATAGACTGAAGAATTTAAAGCTTAGACAAGAGTCATTGCATGCTGATTGATGGCCCTGTGTCACTCTGGTTTATGGGTTATGACCACTGGAGACTTCAAAATGAACTAAGTCAAACATAACAGCATCCTTTGCTCACTGAAGCAAGGATGCAGGACTCAGAAACCAAACTGTTCTGTCAAAAAATAGAATATTTAGCTCAAAAAATCTGTCAGACTTTCAACACTTTGACAGCTTCCATATTCCATGCATGCAAAAGCGAGTCTCTTGAATGCAGACAAAGCATCCAGAATGTTTCTTTGACATTAAAAATCACTAATCTGGTATATTACCCTTAAATAATGCACGCGTCTCTTTTATGTAGGTCTCCCTCTCTCAGATGTTCTATAGAAGGAACATCTTCATTAAAGCAAACAAAAATAAACTACTAAACTGTCTTTAAATACAGTATCAAAGTATGCCAATACTTTAATAACACTGATGAATGGCATATATTAACTGAAAAATAGCTATCTTTTATGCATACAAATATCTAGTGTGTTCATCCTATATGAGGACTGTCATTTATTGTGAAAGGAGGAATTTTTCTCAGCATGTAAAATGAAACATATTATATTAATGGTCATAACTGCCCAATTCTTCAAATTCATCCATACTTGCTACAAGGACACCACTTCATAAGATATTTACTTTTAATCTGCAATCTTCTGTTCTTTAATTTCATTAGGAATCCTTACATCTTACATCATTCTTGCTGAAAAAGAAAAAGCACATAAATTTAGATCATTAATATTTTGCTGAACATTTTGCCATTTGGAAAGTGCGAACAGCGTAACGTTTACCAACTCCTACAAAATTCAACAAGAGTTTTAGTTCAGTTACAATCTAAGTAAGCAATCTAAGGAATCACACCTGTCCAAAATTATAAAAGAATAAGTGACCATAATTTTCTTAATTTTGTGCTGAAGGCACATATAAAAGATTTCAACTGAGGCCAGCAGTGGCCTCAGTGTGGAAAGCAGTGGCTTTCCAAGAGACTTTTTTTTCATGACAATGAAAGGAGTAAATAATGAACATTATTGAGAGGTAAAAAATTTCTAACAACTCACAAAACATGCTGTCACACTTCTGTCATTCATCCGGTTTAGGTCAAGGCACAAACACCTGACTGGTCATTTTTTATTTCTATAGCTTTCTCGCTTTGCATCTGTTTTGACTTTAAACTCTACTTTTCTTGCTGGGAAAAACTGACAGCAAGATCCTGCCCTTCTGTCTTGAAGATGACATGTACAATTGCATACTTCAGCATCCAAAGGAACAAGGCTGGAGCTACAGGAACAGAAAGTATGACACAAAATACACAGAGAACCAGAACCTCATGTGCCTCCTTTACAATCCATGGACAAAAGGATTGTCCTTTATGAAATATGATGTAGAGTGGAAAAATGTATCTGCTTAGCGCAGAATTTTTAGATGCTTGTAAGATTTTTTAAAGCTTTACACATTACAATAGTTTTGAATACTCCACTATTACAACCTAGCTCTTCTCCCATTAAATTAACAGATACATTATCCTACATTTTTAAGGAAGCAGGATTAGCCATGCACTTTAGAAATGAGGCTATTTATGCAGGGTTTTTTTCAGATCTTTTGTATAACATTTGGTTGGACAACAAAGATTTAGACTAAGGAATTTTCTTTGTTTCTACATTTACATACATTTCTTTATATACAGAGATTACTTAAAATGTACAGTTCTGAAACAATTTTATTGGTAGGCGCATTAACCATACTAGTCTGGATCTAGCTTGCCTAACTTCAGGAACTTGAAAAGCATCTATGTTAGGAGTCTCGTTGCTTTAACAACCCAGTTGTTACTAGAGGTAGACATCCACCAAGGTAATTCAGCCTCATCTAAGCCTGCGGATGCCATGCACGTGCAGTTTTACACATTCAAAGCAAGATCAACTCCTACTAAAATATGGAGGAAGTCCTGCCCAACATGTCTCATTTAATACAAACTTAAACTGTGTGATAATCTTACTAGCCCCTGATAGATGTCTCACATCTGTAATACCCTGGTGTGAGAAGACAGCTTGTCAAACTTGACCAGTACAAGCTGGCTGTTCAGAAAGGGCTTTTCTGATAACTTTTCCACTACGGAAGAGTTGCACAAGAACAAGAAGAAGAAATGTACCTATTGGCTTTATAAACACAGCGTTTGACACCTCAATGTTTGTTTTTGCATCTGTATCTTAATGGAAAGGTAACAGACGTTATAAGCCTAAAAGTTATGTCTTAAAGTGTGAGAGCTTCTTCCCCTTTAAAGCTGCCACAAGGAGGAGCATAGTCTCTGGCCTGCCATGTAACACTGAAGCACGGGTCATTTATTTCAGAACGGTGTTAATTCTTCAGCAAATGTTAACATTCCTAATTTTTTTATTTTTTTTTTTCCAATGGCCTGAAGGAAACAGGTTAAATGATTCATTGACCCATGGGAATTAAAAGACATGGCAACATCAACAGGCTTTATGAATCTTCGATCAACTCCTCTCCTCCTAGTTATATACAGGTGCAATTCTGTTGATGTGAATAGCGTAGTCCCCAGAAGAATTACCAAATGAGAGGAGAAACAAATCCACTAAAGTGTGAGTAGACTTTTATCAATAAGATGAAAAAAATCTAAATGAATATTTAAAAAGGGAGAGGGCAGGCAGATTTCTTACTTAACTATTCCTGCCTGCATCAGCTCCAGTAACATCACAAGGAAGCTCAGTAGGACAGTGAGGCATCTGGACACCAGCTGTTGCTAACAACAGGCAACCTCATCCTGGTACTCATCCAGCTGTTAAAGCTTTCTTTTGTTAGAGGGCTAGGAAGGGGTGCAGATGTCAACCTGTTTCAACTGAAGATCATTTCAACCACTTAAAATGTCTTTTTGATTAAAAATGTGAACAACTTCTCAAAATAAACACACTAAATATCATAAAAATGTATACCATTAAGTCTCCATCATTGTAAACTGAAATTGGCTTCCTGTATCAGAACACATAGGCAAGTGAAACACATATATTTCTTTACTTCTGAAGAGTATCAGACTTTATGCTGTTAATGAATGTTCTTGATAAAATGTTGGTGGTAATAACTCAATTTTTATACTCACAAGAAGACCAACTAATAATTTTTACAGCTTTGCTTTCCCTCACTGCACTGTGTTTATCTGAATAAGGTCTTTTTACAATCATGCATAAAGACAGTCACTGCCAAGAGAGAATTTTTTTATAAGCCTTATTAGGAGGGGTTTCTTATTGCTCACTAAAATGTTCTTTCTGCTACCTAATAAGAATTGTGACACATGAACCTATTGTACTGAAGAAAAATGATATCATACATGTTCAAAGTTTGCTTGTTTGTAGCATCTGGTTTCCTTTCTTTAATTTGTGACAGTCATTCAAGGATTTCCTAGAACCAAGCAGCACTTGACTCAGGAAGTAATATTGTTGGGCTTGCAGAATTTCAGAGATGAATTTGGCCAATGATCACAAGTTCAACACTGCATGAAAATTTCTGAAGCTGCTTTCTGAAGCTTCACATCCAGAGAGATTTTCCTGCCTCCAAACAGATGTTTGTAAAAAGGAAACTGGAGTTCTAATTTGGTTGGATAAGCAAATGTCTTCTGAACTGGGAATGGCAGTCTTCATGCAAGCAAGTCCCAGCTTGAACAGCAGATGTGCCACTTAAGCAAAACTCTATTTAATTGTTCCAGATAAAAGGTCAAGATGTTTTAGTGCCTGAAGTAGCACACAGAGCATCCACCAGTACAGCCAAGAATCCAATTTTCGGTCTCCAGACTTCAGCTGTAAAGAAGAAGTGCATGTTTCATTTCAGAAAATCATTGTAAAAATAATTGTGCAAGTCTGATTGTATTTTGCTCTGACCTAGCAAGTGGCCTGTTGAATAACTTCACTTAATGCAAGTAAAGGTGCTCACAAAATGTTGTGCTACAAAGGAGATGTTGTCTTGAATAGAAATCTTTTCACATCAGTTCAAGACAGTTGCTAAAAAGAACCCCCGCTGTTACTGTGGCACGAAGCTTGTATCTGGATAAATATAAATGCAATACATAACAACTTATTCTGTTTAGAAGAACTAGAATCCTGGATCCAGCTTTAAGAACAAGATTCATCTGTTGATACAAAGGAATCTGTCCTGGGTTTAGCAGTAGCAGTCATTTTTCTCTTTCTTGGTTGTTGGTGCAGTGCTGTGTTTTGACTTTCAGCTGGGAACAGAGCTGAAAAACAATGATGTTTTGGTTTGGCCAAGGACTTTGTGGGCCTCATGCTCTGCCAGGGAGGAGGGAAGCTAGGAGGAAGCAGAGACAGGACACCTGTCCCATACTGACCAAAGAGGTATTCCATACCACAGCACGTCATGCCCAGGAGGTAACTGGGAGTTACCCGGAAGGGGCTAGAGTGGACTGCAGGGTTGGAGGAGGTATCGGTCTGTGCTTGGTCGGGCTGGGGGGGGCGAATTATCGGTCGGCTGGTGATGAGGTGTTGTATTCTCTTCCCTTGTTATTTCCTTTATCATTACTATTGTTGGTGATAGCAGTAGTGATTTGTGTTATACCTTAGTTACTAAACTGTTCGTATCTCAACCCGTGGGAGTTGCATTTCTTTTTGATTCTCCTCTCCGTTCCCCCAGGAGTAGGGGGAGGGCAAGAAGGGGGGGAGTGGGTAACAAGCTGTCTGTCTGGGTTTAAACCACGACAGAATCAACAGAAATCCATGGTCAACTTTTTTTTTAGTGCTTATTTTGCAAAGCATTTCTGTCCTACTTTAATTTCACAGCTGCAGGGCAGGTTGACATAAAAGGATGGTAAAAATAAATTACTTTTCCACTTAGCACCGCTCTGAGGGAAAGGATCATAAGTGCTCATTTAGCACTTGCTCATCAAGCCATGCATGCCTGCTGTCTGGAAGCTTGGACGCATACCCGTCGCCTGTGATCCATAAGCTAGCTCTTTGGTTACATTTGCTCTTGGGCTGCATCTGTTTTCACTGCTGGTTGCTCATCACAGCACAAACTGGGGTCTTGGCACATCAGTCTCCTACAGCATCTGGCACAAATTCTGGGGCTTCCTTTGAGAAGAAACAAGGATACAGCTGTGTCAGGCACCTTAAACTAAGCAGTGCTCTCAGGTTCTCTAACATAGAATTCTGCTACACCCATGTGTAATTTTAGGCCTGGGAACATGAAGAGCTTCTATCCCATCTGTATCAAGGAATGCTGCCTACATTAACATTGTCCACACTGAGCTTGCTAGCAAAGTGGAGTCTGCAGCCAGCTGTGTATCATGTATTAACATGCTAAGTAATGTTTGTAAGTGAATTCCATCATTCGAGATATATATATATATATCAGAATCTATCTATCTATCTATCTATCTATCTATAAGGCACAGCAAGCTCTGTAACTGTTTATAACAAGTTTCGGTTTTGCCCCTGTGGCTCTAAACCAAATCTCATTTGCAAGTGGGAATGTGTTATTCTGCATAGTGAATACTTGACCTTTTATTTCTATAAAGTAACTTCCAGAAACAATGCCAAAAGCATTAGTGCCACTGACAGGGTGACACTGCAGCATTTCATATGTATATTTTATTGGGAAGTGTCTGGGAAAAGCTGCAGGTTTCCAATTAAACTTTATCACCTGCCTATGCATGCCCACAATAACAAGATTGTATATTAATATGACTGTGACCCCAACACATGCAGAACTGGTCAGAGTTATGCACGCTGTGGGCTCCAACACTTCCTCTAGCAGGAAACTCTGCTGGAGAGAGGCTACTTAAAGCAAAGAAATATCTGGATTGTGACGGTAATGGAATATTAAGTGCTTTACTGATAGGGACTGCACTCAGGTATTGTGCTTAAATGTGTTGTTGAATTAAAGCTTTAGGACTTTTCATTCCGTGTTTACACTTAACATTTCCCTTAGTATTTATTCTGGTATTACATAAATATATCTGTGATGATTATCTCAGCTGGCTGCAACCCAAACATTCATTAAAAATTCATTAAATAACCATCATAGGATAGGTAGTACTGCTCCTGTTTTACAGATACCTGCAGGATTGCTCCTGACAACATATGGGCTGTGACAGTCAAGAGTCTATGACAGGACATATTTGTGGTTAGCTCTAGATGCATCCCACAATACCAAAATCTTACTTTGCCTAAGGTTGCTCACCAACTGATAGTCAGGTCAGTTTAATTCAGACACCAAGAGATGAATCCAGACAACCAGCTTTAAAATTCAAGAAGCCTGAAAGTGAAACCTTGTGCTGTCTAGACTGTTCTTTCGCTCCTCCAGAGTATATGCATTTTTCTAAACGAGGAATACAGGTTAGTATCTAAGGATTTGAACAGCTTTCGAGTGTATTTAACAGCTTTTGCAAGAAGGACTGTGTTTTGTCCAGCAGAGGGAGACGGGAGTTTTAGAGAAATGTCATACAAACACTAAACATAACAAGGAAGGAAATTCTTTCACTCAAAGATCAAACAATATATATTTTAATTTATAAGGTATAACACCCTAGATAATATAGACATCTAAATATAGTCAAAACCAGATTTAAAATCATAATATAGTGCTTGACACTGATGTAGGATTTGTAGCCTTCATCCACTTCAAGTCTGGTCCTGCGCAAATAACAAACACACTTTTTCTAACATGATTTGAAAGTCCTACTGTGATTCTTGATTAAATTTTAAATGCAAAAATATTCAAATCCAACATAAAAATTAGAACAAAACAGCCTTCCCTGCCTTTAAATTATTTGTTAGTCATGTCCACTAGCCTGAGAGATTCCTTGTCCAAGACAAATTTCTGTCAGGTATTTTAAAAATCTGATGTAATTCACTTGGTGAGTTTTTGAGTTACCCACTTCTTTCAAATGTTCTTTCGCTATATACAAATGACCCCTGAAACACTCATTGCAGGGAGAAAAAAAAAAGAGATAATACACAAATATTAAGGTTTTCCATTAATATCCAAACAGATAGAAAACAGAGCTTTTTTTGCCAGAAAACTCAACAAAGAATTATCTTCAATAAGGAATATTCTACTAATGATTTTTTTTTAAAGTGAAAGTGTCAAACAGTAAGTGGAAACATTTTATTTCCTAGATAATCCCTTTGCATTTTTTTCAAGCTAGAAAACCTAAATCTGATTTAATAGGAATGAAAGAAGCTATTTTAAAGGAGATCTCACTTGAAAAACAGCAAAAAACCAATACAGACCCAACTCCAGAGTCTGGAAGTCTAACAGAAGAAAACTGTGCCATTATTCGTCTGCTTTCTTCAAGTTTAGACTCCACTGTAGTGCTGTTTACCTTTGCTTAACTCCTTTCAGATGTTCTAGTCAGTAATATTCAAGTATCTATGCTCATTTATACAAGTAGCCATATTAATGTCAAGAACAGCATGGTGTGGCCATGGATAGCCATGAAACATAGCAGCAGGATGCATTAATATACAAAATATAATACAATACAAAACAATACAATAAAATACAATAAACACAGTGTGTTTTACATGAGGAAACACTTGCCAGCAGTTTGCAGTCAGGAAAAGGTTAATGGAAACTTGGAGGAAGCTCTTTGCAGAGAGTGCCTGTTCTGTTTTTTGAGTGGCCCAGTAAACTATGATCTCAGACCAGAAACCCAGTCTCTGGCCCAGCCAGTTCAACTCTCACCTCCCTGTTTCATAACAGAACAAATGCATCATCCCATTGCATGCTTCAAAAGCAGTTTTAAAGCTACAGGCAGTGGGTTTCAATCTCACTCCAGCTTATCTGGCACAGTGCACTGTTCATAAACTACTCAGATTCACAACTACAACAAAAGAGAGACAGTTGATAAGCAGCTCTTTGTTTTTTCTTTGTTCAGACACAGCAGCTGATGTGCTCTGGGGATGATTGCATTATCAGGATGGTTGCATAACTGTAAGGGGAATGAATACCATTTCAAAGTAGCAAATGAACTTCCAGGTGTAGGTATGAGAAGGACAAACAGAATTGGCACAGGCTTAACATGAAGAGGAAAACAGCAAATCCTCCCATGACAGAACTTGGAAGTAATGGTCACATAAAAACAACAAACCAACAAAAAACCCAACAAAACAGTAACACAAGCAGAAGAAGAAATAATTATACCTTAACCATATTTTTTCTGCTTATTCTGTGCTATTTGTTAGTTCTGTCATTGCCAGCCTTCAGAATTAAAACCTGATGTCAAAGCCAGAAAAAGATCAAATGACTGGCTTAAAGCCAGTCAAGCAGTCTTCTTGGTTTCTTGGTTTGTTTCCTGATTCTTTGGAAACCTTTCCTGAAATCATAAAGGGAATGCTGAACCAATTCACTGACTTGCTGAAACCAGAACAATTACCCAGCTCCTCAGCTGCGACCCCCTTTGTCTATGATGTTAGTTGTGTCAGGAAAGTCAACACCTGTATGCGGACCAAAGGGTAGAATTCGGTGGAAATTTATTCAGTGAAATTGAGTTAAAGAAGTCTTTTTACCTAAATTCACCTGTGTAAAAATCAGGCATCTGAACAAAGCCAGCTATAGAACTAAAGGCTGGCAAACCCAAAAGCCGACTCTTCCCTTCTTAAAAGTGGTGCACATATCCAAGAAAGAAAACCTGCTAGGGCAGAAGCAGTTTACAATTTGGGTCAGGAAAGCTTCCATAGGTCCTAAATATTTTTTGCTACCATGTAGTCCTAGAAACACCACTGTTTGGACCAGCACAAAATGAGAATCTCATGTCTAAAGACCTTGTGTCTTCTGGTTGATCAGCTCATCTTGAGAGCCATCTGAGTGCAAACATCTAGAACATAGCTACCTCTGCCCAAGCTAGTCATCTGTATATTTGCTGGAGAGAAAGGAGTACTTCTGATTGTATAGCCAATATTTAAACTAGAATCACTGAATAATGCAAGTTGGAAGGGATCTTTGGTTTCCATTGTGGTCCAAAACCCCAGCTCAAAGCAGGACAAATTAAGACTGATCTTGTTCAGCTGATCAGATGGATCACTGTTTCTCCCAATCAGCCATAAAGGCAGCCTGAATTTTTCATTCAGGGTTAAATATCTGCATTTGTTTCCTTTTAAATTTACACATGAATCCTGCTCTGAGCATCCATACATCTGAGGGATTAATAATATGAGTGCTGTGATAAGCACAGAGCACAGCAGTCATGGCCACAGCAATTCAGAACCAGCTGAGAGATGCCCAGACACTGGTTATGAGGGAAACATGAGTGCCAGAGACCTAAAGCCACTTTGGGCATTTATACCTCCTGCTGTTCCTCATTTTCAGTGCTCTGATATCCCTGGTATGACCATGTAAAAGGATGGTGGGAGGCAAAAGATAAGCATCGTATTCTCTACCTCTTCAATGAAGACAAGAAGGAGGTAAAAGGCTGAAGGTATGTTTAGAGCTCTGAAATCTGGAATTACAGTAGATTCCACCTACAATCAACAGTTTTATGTTAGAATGCCAGCCGCATCGGTAAATCTTCCGATAACCTGATCCTCTCACCCTGACAGCTGCAAATTTAACACTATGTTTGATTTCTTTGTTTTTCCAGTCTCTGTATCTTAATCCCCTTTATTCTCTCTGCAAAATCCAAAGAAAGAAATTCAGAAAATTCTGAAGTTCCTGGAGAAGAACATGACTCAGGAAGTTCTAAACAAGATAGTCCGTAACACCTCATTTCCAATAATGAAGGAAGGTCCTACACCAAACTATACTACAGAGTTTCAAGGAATAATGCATCTCTTTGTTTCACCGTTCATGAGACAAGGTACTGAGGTTTGTTATTGTCATTGACTCTGTCTTCCTGGTTGTCATTCTGTTTTGAAATAAGCCTTGAAATACAAGTATCTAGCGAGTCACGGCTAATGGGCTTCAGGAAATACTGGTAAATTAGTATTTTCTCTTTCTTTGCTTTGCTGTTTTAGGGGTTGTCAGGGACTGGAAGAATTATTTCACTGTGCCATAGAATAAGAAATTTGATGAAGGTTATAAGAAGAAAATGGTTGATAACTTTCTTAGTTTTCACGTGTAATTGTGATTATTAGCATGGGAATTACCCTCTCCAATCTTCAGCCTGTTCCATTTTATATATTTTGTTTTTGCTTCACAAAATTCCTGTGTCCCTAAGAATTTAATGTCCCTCTTTCACACATCACTGACTTTTCATTATCATGAAGTGCACAAATTATGAGGAAGA